AGAATCAAACAAATCCCTAAAATATTTCTCAGTTGTGTATCTGTTTGCATTTTAAATTCTCACTTAATTTCAGTCAGAAAAATTACATTTAACGAACTTATATCAATAATGATCTTGGAATATATTTTAACCAGGTACAAACTAATTAAACTTCAGGATGTAGGTGATCATAGCTCTCCACAATTTCCTGACTTTAGTAGCTCTTAATAAATTTCATCTTTTTGTTATCTCTCCTAAATGTTGCTCCATCATCCATTCACTAAAGCTTGCTACGTAGGTTATGCGTCATTTTCCACTGTCCCTCAATCTGTTCTGTGAGTATGAAATCTTGTCTTCAAAAAGTAAACAAGCTGTTCCAAAATAGAAATCTAACCACTTGAAAAGATTGGATAATTTTTAGTCTAGAGTTTAAAAAAAAAAAAATTCTTTTAAGCCTATAATAATCACAAGAATATAGCAATTTAAAAAAAAAAAAACACTTATAAACTATGGTTGGTTTCAAAAATAACATCATGTAGAAAGGAGGAGAATCTATTTTTTCCAGACATTTAATCACAATGATTGTTTGGTGGAAAAAGAAAGATTTCCACACCCCCAAACTTCTCATCTCTTCATCTTTGACAGTTTTTGTTTGGTAGCATACAATAACACAGGACAGATTATCCAATTTTTTGTTGAATTAAAGAAAGAAATATTTTAAAAATCCTGTCTTTTAAGTTTAAATTCAACTATATATATATATATATATATATATATATATATATATGGTATATAAAATGACAATTATAAAAAATCTTATATTTTGAAAACACATTTTGTCTTCCAAAGACAGGCAAAAATGAAATGGAAATATATTTTTATTATTATAGTTATATATAAAAATATAAATTTAAAAGATAGATGCTTATATCTAAATATATTTTTCTGGTTAATATATATACCTAAATAGTAAGTGAATTTTTTTTTTTCTCCATGTTGACAATATAGTTAAATTCCCAGATCAATTCTGTGGACAAGACAGATTGGTATAAAATGACAAACCAAAAAAATTTTAGATCGAAATGATTTACGATTTTCTTCCGACTTTTTAATCCAAAGAATTGGGAATTTAATTATATATATACATGGGAAAAAAAAAAAAAAATCCTTTACTATAAAGGTAATATACATTAATCAGAAAAAAAGGGTTTAGACAGAATTTGTCTATCTTTTTAAATTTGGATTTTTTAATGTAACTATAACAACAAAAACATTTCGATTTCATTTTTGCCTTGAAAAAGTCAGAAGATGAAACGCGTCAGCAAAATTTAAGATTTTTTTTCCAATTGTCATTTTATACCAATCTGTCTTGTCCACAGAATTGATCTGGGAACTTAACTATATATATAGTCATCCACAGACAGACTGTTTCACTATATCACAGCTCATCAGTGTGGCTAGATATCTGATTGCCTCAAGCTGGGATTGAAACCCAACTGATTTGGCATCAGTCAGAGATTTTACCTCTGAGCTATCAGCGCCCGGTAGAGAGGAAGGTGAATTTTTTTATAACCTACTCTTCAAATAAACATGCCAATGACTGAGAGGGTTCAATTCATGGAAGAGCTTTGCAGTATTAGCAGTAGTAGTCATTGTTTACAAATTCGCACTTTCTCTCCAGAGTGCTCAACCAGAATTAAATTTACCAGGGACATGTTTTTTTTTTTTCTTCTTCATTATATTCCAAGTAAATGGAGCTCACCAGCTCAGGAAGGCAGTGTATGAAGAAAAAAAAAAAAAAAAACAGATTTTAGACCTCCACTGCCTTGCAGTTATATCAAAACACGTAAAAGGGTATGGAATCCAGATAGAAAACTCTAAGTGGAGCCCCAAAGGCAGTTAGCTGAAAATTTTCCAGCAACTTCTGCAGCTAAGACATCCCCAAATGTAATGCTCTGTATTCCTTTGGATCTTGTCGCTACAGCAGGGGGAGGGGGGCATGTAGTCTGGGTGGCACACAGCATCCATATACCATCAGTAAAGCCTCTGCTCCCTGAAGCAATCACTTCAGTTTCCTCACCAAAGGACTGAATTTTGAGCAAACAGGATGATACCTTTATCTTTCTAGATAAACTATTTCTTCATTAAATCTTAAAAATATATTACAAATAAAAATGATTATTAGTTTGAAATACAAGGATCAGTTTCCTTGAGAATTCAAATGTTTTTACTCAATATATAATTGATTTTATCTTGTATAACAGTGTAAACAATAGCATGGCTGATGCTGACCTCCAGGAGAGTCACTCATTGCATCTTTTCAGGCTAACGTGTTCTTGACATGAAATGAAAAGATTATATTGAATAAATTGCTAGGTCTGCTATTAGGAAAGTTGATTCACTGTTTTGTGCTAGACAATTTTTCACTCCAGAATCTATCTTACAGATTATAAGTCTATCATTTATCCATGCTTCATATATTGCTGCCACATATGGTCTGGTACTCCTACTATATATTTAGAGATTCTTGATAAAATCCAAAGAAGAATCTGCAATGTTATTGGTCCTGACCTGACATTTCAGTGAATTTCCTACTGCTATAATGTAGCTTTCCTATCCCTTTTCTATAAATATTTTCATGGTAATTGTTCTGATGAACATTCCTTTATGGCAGGGGTCACCAAACTAAGGTCCATGGGCCAGATCCAGCCCCCAATGTCAGTTCATCCAGCCCACTGCTTCAATGTGCCACAAATGAGCTAAAATATAATTATATGGAATTATCAATAGATTGTAGTTAAACTTACTATGAAGAAAAAATTAAATGTAATTAAAATGCCAAAATTTGGTCAATCTGATTTTCGCATCTGACAGTAATATAATTTTAGGAAAATAAGTGAAATAAAAAAATTCTGCAACTTCTGATATCCGAGCATTTTTGTTGTGCAATGAAGTTCCTAAGAAAAGCAATTATGAGCCTGCTGCAGCAATCATGTTTTAACTTACATTGCCATGTTTAAACTTGTTTAAAGAGTGCCATATATAAAAAGGACTGACTTCAGTGAATTATGTCATATATTTTGCCTGAACTTATTATAAAATCTAAAGTATGTAAAGTCAGCACATGTAATGAGGTTGACTGATAAACATTTGAAAGTATTTCTCTTGGTTGGATGCAGCAATACCAAAACAAATATTAATTATATATAAGGTAAATATTCCAGTTTCACAAAATCTCACTAACCTTTTGTGCTGCTTAGTTTGTGAGATTCGGATATGTGTGCACTTGGTGTAATATAACTATTTTATTGTTATTGTCGCCTTCTTACATAACTTTTTAGTAAATAAGTATCTTTATTGTCTTTATTTTTTGTGCATTCAGTGTATTGTATTGGACATAATGGTTATCTGGGCTGCAGTCGTCATTCTGTTATCTGGCCCTCTGTGAAAAAAAGTTGGTGACCCCTGCTCTATGATATCTAGATTTTATGAAAATAAGTGCAGTACTAGATTGGTAGCAAAGTCTAATCATTTTCAAGTTGAAATCATGAGAGGTAACTAAGTTCTATGCTTATAGTTTCTTCTTTTACACTTTTCATTTGTGGAACTCGTTTCTGGTTTCTTGCTTTTCAGCCAATCTTGATCTTCAAAAATTTAAATGCAATGTCAATCGTTATCTTCTGTCTTCTTAATTTCAGTTCTTTTAGAAAGGAAAAAAAATTAGTGTTTTTTTCTCCTATTCACTCACTTTCAGTAACCTTTTGTATCTTAGTGACTTTATTGCCTTGCTTGAGATGTAGTGAAATATATACAAAATCTACAGGTAACAATATATAACAAACAAATCATGGAAATAAATGATTTCTTGATCCCCTCATATAAAGCACTGTTATCTCATATTTATAATTCTCAAAGTGTGTGTGTGTGTGTGTGTGTGTGTGTGTGATCGGATTTGTTTATGCATTTCCACAGTTTTCATCTGATTTCGAAGAATTTTTTTTTGTTTGATAGATAATTCTTCAGTGCTGGGTTTGAGCTGAAATTGTTGGTGACAATGCTTCTCCACTACTTCCTGCCCATTATAACTCTCAGCAATGTTTTACTATTTATTATCAGCTCTTGGATATATATCTTTCATAAAAACTTTAATAAAAATAGTTTAAATTATTACAATAATATTATTTATTATAATACAGTTCCCTTTTCAGGACCACTCCACATTCAAATTGTTAACCCTCCATTTGGAGATGTGCCTCAGTTGCACCCAATTTTGTTACTAATATTGATTTTTGGGTGGGCTGACTTTAAACTTAAACTACTCCAAATGAACGACAAAAATTCCCAATAATGAAAGACCCGGGCAAAGATGGGTTATACTGCTAGTTTCAACAATAGATGCTAAAGTCTAGAAGAAAAATAAAATGTTACAGACATGCAGAAAAAAAAAAGATAAAATCTTTTAGTCAACCATGGCTTATCTTACATGACAAACACTGAAGTGTCAGCATCATTTATTTTTGCCTCAACCCAAATTAGCATCCTGTTGATTCCAAAACCAAACATCCTAAAAAGTATATTCTTGCCCTTCCTATTCCTGCTACTTGCCTAAATTAAAATTTATGATTATTATTGCAGTCGTTAATGAATTTTGCATGCTCACTTTAGACATATCAAAAATAAAACAATCCAAAATACCTAGTCCCTTAAAGTAAACATGAATATTAAAAAATGACCTTGTAGATGAATATAAAGGGTAATGAAGTCCCCTATTTTAAAAAGGGGTGGAGGATAAAGAAAGGTTGCCAAGAAGAGAAAGAAGAAAAGTTTTTTTGATAAAGAAGAACATAGGATAAGACAAGAGGATAAGGAAGAGAAGAGAAAGGATAAAAAGGAGGAGGAAGAAAAAAAGTGGGACAAGGAGGAGGAAGAAAAAAAAAAAAAATGACAAGGAGGAGGAAAAATGTCAACGACAAGGAGGAGGAAGAAATTTTGCGACAAGGAGGAGGAAGAAAAAATTTTATCTACAAGGAGGAGGGAATAAAAAGTGCGACAAGGAGGATTGTAAAAATTGCGACAAGGAAGGAGGAGGAGGAGAAAAAAAAGACAAGGACAAGGAGGAGGGAAAAAAAAAGTGCGACAAGGAGGAGGAAGAAAAAAAGTGCGACAAGGAGGAGGAAGAAAAAAAGTGCGACAAGGAGGAGGAAGAAAAAACAGTGAGTATCAAGGAAAAGGAAAAAAAAAAAAAAAAGGAAGAAAAAAAAGGAGGAGGAAAATAAAAAAGTAGCATACAAGGAGGGAAGAAAAAAGGGACAAAGGAGGAGAAAAGAAAAACAAGGAGGAGGAAGAAAAAAGTGGGACAAGGAGGAGGAAGAAAAAAGTGGGACAAGGAGGAGGAAGAAAAAAGTGCGACAAGGAGGAGGAAGAAAAAAGTGGGACAAGGAGGAGGAAGAAAGATAAAAATAAAAACAGAATAGTAGCCTGGGACCAGACAAAATTATTGTAAACAAAGAAAAGAAAAATTGTCAGAAATTGAATGTCACCATTCCAACAGACTACAAGTTTAAATTTAAAGAATGCAAAAGACTGGATAATATATATCAACCTCAAGCAAAGTAAAAAAGAAAGTAATATGATAGTAGCAGTTGCACCGATTGATCTTGGAGCATTCCCAAAGAGCTTTGCAAAGAGATTGGAAGAATTAGAAACTGAAGAAAAAACAAAACCATCCAAATGACAGCATTACTAAATTCGGAAAGAATACAGAAAATATACAATCACTTTATCTTCATAGAAAGTCATCTGATACTACTAGTGAGAAAATTATTATCGTCATCATCAGCACCACCAATGCCATCAAAAGAATATGGAATTGACAAAAAGTACAGATTATGCTTATTGTAATCAGAACATTAGGGACAGTATCAGAAAATATTGCCCATTAGTTGAAAACATTAGATTTATCAGCGAGTTTTTATGTGTTGCAGAAAGACTGTTTGCATGGCACAGCATGAACCATCAAAAAAAGCACAGAATACCAAAGTTTACAGGATGCAGCTGATAGCCAATAATTACAAGAGCAGCAAATAACATCCAATAAGCTATACAAAATGATTAATAATAATAATACTTGAACAGCATGTTGAGACTATTGAGTACTTTAGTATCAGACTGTCCAAGCCTGAAACCAAAAGAATACAAGAATCAACATCAGACTGGGTAGTATATTCATTGAAAGATATATCAGTATCACAGAGTGCTAGATGCTGAAAAATGGTATGAACCAGTCATAGAAGGCCAAAAAGTCAATATTCTTTGGTACTTTACTATTCATAACAACAGGCATATAAAAGCTAATAATTATTAAATAGCTAATAGTTATTAAAAACTGAAAAAAGAAAAAAAGAAAGAGAGGTAGAAATCTTCTCATAGATATGACAGTGCCATCAGATAAATATATGTTAGATAATATAAGTACCATATATACTTACATATCATGTGACCTTTGAAGACCTAATTTTGAAGCTAATTTGACTACAGTAAACTGATATATAGTTTGATTTACAGTTTAGCCAGGGCCAGCAGTACATATGCTAATTTTATATCTCATGTATAATGTGACCCCTTTAAAATTAGCTTCAAAATTAGATCTTCAAAAGTCACATGATATAAGAGTATATATGGTTAAATATAAGAATTTTTAAGTTGAAGAAATTTAGCACCCTAAAACTACTATAAATTATAATGATTTATGGGGTACAGACAAGTTACAAGATTTCTGCTAATCCCTGTTTACAAGAGATTTTTAAAAATTGCACTGTGTGGAACTCTGCTCATTGACGGAGGAAAGTATAACCAATATAAAGAAAATATCAACAATGTTAAGTATCTCTTAACAAAATTTATGCAAACTAGATAACATATATTTAATACCTTAACTTGATTGATTGTTTTGTTTAATGGCATATCGACACATTATGGGTCATTTAATGCCAAAATTCACTTTTCTTGCAAATAATAAAAATATGCTATTCCATTTTCACAATTGAATAAATGGTAGATGATACTCAGCTTTTATAAATGTACGTGTTTGTGTGAACGTGATTACTAGAGGTGATGATATATAAGTTGTTTTGTTGAAGCTATATTTTGTAATACAGTTTGATTTCTTTAAGAAATTGTAGGATATTATATGGATTAATGTCATGAAAGAGTATTTGCAACCGTCTCAAGAGTAGCAAGGAAGAGAATTCTATGGCAACTATCAGTGCCTGCAGCATTGGAATGGTTAAACAATATTTCAGCAGAATGTCTCTTTTTCAAGTTATATTTAAAAAAAAATTTTTTTTTTTTAAGTATAAAAATATATAATTCTACAAAAAATTCTAAGTCTTTATGCAAACGTTGCTTGTCTAGAAATGAAAAGAATGGCTGTCCTGGTAATGAATGCACCAAAACAAATAAAATGTTGCTAGCATGAAGGCATGAAACTGAAACGTGTTAATATGATGGTGAGCTTGTTCATCTCGGAATTTTCCATTAGTTGATTAGTTATTAAGAGGAATTAATCAAAGAGCTTAGTATAAATCTTATGGAACTCTCCTGTTATTCTGTTCATTCGGGGAGGGGGGGGTTAGTAATTTGCTTATGTAACCATCCTCGTGCATTTTAGGTTGGTAGATTCTGAATATTTTTTCAGAATGTGCACCTTAAGATGTGTGTCAAAATTACAGACATCTATATAATGAATACAAATGTCAGTGTGTCACACTTTTTCAATTAAAGGGACACAACTCTAACTTTCAATAGCTCATATTACAGAAATTTTGGATACCCAAGTTTTCATAATTGTGATTGTTTTCAGCAATTTTTTTTTTTTACATGATTTTCTGCGACTTTTTCTGTAACTTGGTAATAAATTTGGAAATAATCAAAATCAATTGTAAAAAGCAAAAAGTCAATTTTGTTAAAAATCAAAAAATAATACTTTATATGGAAAATAAGGACCTACACAAATCAAATTTTTTTTTAAATTAAGTGGCAGCAGAAGAATTATCATTGAACAACAAAAAAGGTAAGCTTAAATATTAATGCAACATTTAAATTGCAATCAATTTTGAGTTTTTTCTGCAGTTTATTTTGCCTATCAACATACGGTTCAGTATGCCTGACAAAAGAAATTCCAACAACAGAGGAAAATTGCAATAAAAAAGATTCAAGGCTGTTGTAAATGACAAAAAGAAAGTACTTTGCAAATGAAAACCCAGATCAAATGGCAGCCAGAGAAAATACAACAAAATTTGGGACTCTCAAATTTGAACAAAAATCTGAAGGCCCAATAATTTTCAAAAAAAATAATAGGGGCAGCTTTTAAGCTAGTTTATAATAAAATGTTCTACAAGCTCTGTTGATGCTACATAATTATGTCTGACAACATTTTTTAAACTTGAAGAAAACAGACATTCTGTTGCAATATTGCTTAACATTGTCTTTTTCTTAAATCGCACTTTTCTCTTAACTACTACTATTAATAAAAAAACAATACAGACATGGCTGTCATGGCATCCAATCTTAATAAATTGTAAATGTTTTGTGCTGGAGTATGATAATGGGCTACAGAAAATATCCAATTTAATACCACAGATTTGTCTGACTTCAACCAGTTGGGCATGTCCTTAGGAGAAGATACACTTTTGGAAGTATAAGAGCATCAAGGCTGGGTGTCAAGAAGATTTGTTTTTTTAAGTTTAAAAGACAAGGAAAACTAAGCATCATGGAAATCACAAGATACTTAGAAACAGTTTGAACATGATGGGTTACCTGACATGAAAGTATTTCTAAATGGACCCTACCTGCTACATTTATCAAAACCTGTCACCAGATCATTCACATTTGGCTGTGATGCATGTACCTAATATACTCTTATCAGACAGGGTATCTTGATAGGTATATTGGGCTTTATATATTTATACCCCCATGTCATTTTGTTGGCATACTGCTTTCTGACACTATAATAATAATAATAATAACCTCCCCCCCATACTTAAATATGCAAATGTATGCACAAATCAGCAAATTAAAGCCTTTGGTTCTATTTGAACCAAACTTGATAAACCTGGTTTGACTTCTAGAAATACGAGATTTTGTGGAGGTTTTGCAGTAAAAATTCAAAACAAAAGACCAAATTAGTAATATACAAAGCAGAAACATGGAAGGTTGAAGCAAAACTATCTCTATAAATAGGAAAGGCGGCTCAGAAAATTTAACACTCACAGAACACAGTGATGGCAAGAATTGACAGATGAAAACAATGCATAACTTAACTAACAAGTTAGTATAAATGGTTAGTAGAACAGGGTTTAGGAAAGATAGCAAAAAGGCCAAATTTACTAAGAGCTACAAAGGACAGGAAGCTGTCGAGAGCCATAATCACTAACATCCCGAAAGGATATGGCACATAGAAGAAGACAATTGTGATGATAATAGGAGGAATAAAGTGACAAAGAAAAGGAATTGGTTAGATTTAAAATTGCCATTATAAAATGCAGAGAATCAGCAAAAAAAAAAAAAAAAGCTCTGAGACAAAATGTCATCACCAGAGATTTAAATTTTTTTTTTTTATTATTTCTATTTTTAAAGCTTTGAGTATAAGAAATTGTGGAGACCTATGATCGATAACATCCTGAAGGGACATGGCACATAGTTACAAGTAAATAAATAAAGGTTAGATACATGGATGCAGTATATTTACAAACTCAATGTCCAGCTGTTTTTTTCATGCCCCGTTAAACAGAGTTTGCAGTGGTTTAAAGATGATCTAGTAAGCAATATAGCTGGCTTCGGCTTACCCAGTTACACCCACACAAAACCAGTCCCATCATTGTTGTTGCTAATATCAATAAGGTTGTTATTAGAAATAACATTCTTCACAGATCTGTTTCAGCTTAACAATGTTTTTTCTCAATATGGTGACTGCATTTATCAGAATTAAGTTAGAAACAAACATGAGCATAGAACCAAGCAGTGTATGACAAAGCAAAGAGAGGTTCCGTTAAGAGGGGCTTGTCATTATATATATATATATATATATATATATATATATATTGAATGATTAGAAGCACATGGTACAATTATACCATTATCAAATATGAGAAGCTTACTGAGGAAAATTTTAGCAAAGTTAGGTAGATTTTGAAAAATTAAGGCTGACAAAAGGAAACAAATAAATTTAAATTTATTTTCTTCAATAAAGTATTTAAGGGTTGATTTATTTGGAAAAGGATATCAGAATGATCCAGAACTTATACTGGAAGCAAACCACCAGCATACAGATAGAAAATGAATTCAATATATATATATATATATATATACAAAAATAGAAAGATGGGTAAGACAAGGATGTGTCTTCTCACCAGACTTTACAGTGAAGTAATTTTGAAAGAATTGAATGTTCTACCAGAATTCATTATTGGTGGCCACAATCTTAACCACATTAGATATGCAGATGAGTGTTGATAGCAGATACAGAAAGGAAACTACAATTACTCCTACAGAAGGAAGTGAAGGAAAGCAAGAAGATAGAATCTATGGTTGTCAGCAAAGGCAACAACTCATGATGCGAACTACAAATTGGAGACACCAAAATCGAGCAAGTACAAAAATTTAAATATCAAGGAAGCTTTTTAACAGAGGACAGAAAATATAACACCAACATCCAAAAACACATTGGAATAGCAAACCTAAAATTCCCTTCCAGCATTTAAGCAAAGTTTTAAGAAACAAGAGAGTACTGTACAATTACATAATATTGGGCCTCCTATATGACAGTTAATGCTGGACAATCTCCTCACAGATAAAGAAAAGAGTTGAGGCAACAGAAATGTGGTTCTACAGAAGGCTGCTGACAATACAATGAACTGAACATGTGGGCAAAGACAAAGTTTGAGGGAAAATGGAAACAAAAAGGACACTTATACTTAGAATCAGAAAGAGATAGTTGAAATTTCTAGGGCACACATGGAAAGAGGGTTTTCAAAAAATAACACTCACAGGACATGTTGACAGCAAGAGGGGCCTAGAAAAGCAATGTATAACCTACCTAGCTTGTGCAAATGGAACAGGGAGTGAGAAGGATATCAAAAAGAAACATTGCAAAGAAATACAACGGACAGGAAACTGGAGAGCCATGACTACCCACGTTCTGAAAGGTCACAGTACATAGAAAAAGAATATATTTTAAAAAATTTTAGTTTACACAATTTTCCTACTTAACCCATTCAAATCTATCTAGAGTTAACTGTTATCTTCCACAAATATCTACATAAACTGTACCTCTTATTATATAACCCTCTACCTCAAGTAGATCTTGGGACTTGTACAGAGTGAACATCTTTGTAAAAAAAAAATTTTTAAAGATCTCTACTAATCCCTGTTCTACCAATCATTTACACAAGCTTGTTGCTTTCATCTGTCCCACTTGCTTTCAATGTATCAATGAGTGTTAAGTTTTCTAAGTCCTCTGTCCTCATTAAATGCCATGGAAATTTCAACTCTTTCTGATGTTAAGTGTCCTTTTTGTTTCCACTTACAGATATCAAAACTTCTTCCATGTGCCATGGTTCTCCACAACATCCTGTCCTTTGTACTTCTTGGTAAAGTTTGTCTTTTTGCTATCTCTCCTCATCTGTCCTGCCAACCAGTTACACAAGACTGTTAGGCAGGTTATACACTGCTTTCCTCTGCCCCCATTGACTTCAATATGTACTGAGGGTATCAGATTTTCTAAGCCCTCTTTCCTCATTATGTGCCATACAAATTTATATTCTCTTTCTGATGTTAAGTGTCCTTTTTGGTTCCATTTTCTCTGAAACTTCATTGCTCACATGTTCAGTCCATGGTATTCTCAGCAGCCTTCTGTAGAACCTCATTTCTGTTGCCTCAAGTCTCTTCTTCATCTGTGAGAAAATTGTCCAGTATTCAATGCCATGTAGAAAGAGCAATATTACATAACAGTTAAGTACTCTTTTTTTTTCATTTCTAACAAGATTTTCCTGTTTCTTACTTTGCTTGGCTTTTAGAAGGCATCTTTCGGTGTAAGCATTTTTAAAACATAACTGAAAAAGCTGTTGTTATTGGCCAATCCATTTATTTTTCAGAACGCAATATATTGATTGATTATTGATTTTTTTTTATAGCTTATCAACCTTTTTCAGGTTATTTATGGCCAGAAAATATTTTTAGATTGCAAGAATTTGGGGAAGATATTAGTGATTTACTGGTGCAAGTCCTACTTCTTAACCTATAGTCTGTGGGGAGAAGTGGTGGATTTACACCACTCCCAAGAGTCGGGTGAATCCATGTAAGTGAATATCACAAACACAACTGGAATTAGAACACATCTCTATGATTTCAAATTCTGAGCCTTTATCCATCACACCACCCACACATTCTAGTTTACAGCACCTGGTATTCCCAAGCAGTTACCCATCTAGGTACTGACAAGGTTCAATGTTGCTTAGCTTCGGTGATCATACAAGAACCAGTATTTCACAGTGTTATGTACCTAAGCTGAAAAGCAATACAAAGAATAAATTCAAACGAGGATTTTTTTTTCTCAAGATTACAATCAGTCCACTGAAAATTGCAACTTCCACATCTCAAAACCAAACATGTCTAACATCCTGATCTCCCAAGTAATGAAACAAAACAGAAGACGCAAAGATACCTGTGCTTCACATGCTTCATCAACCACATTGAGGGCTGCCATGGCTACTGCCCGGCTTTGATCATACAGCTGAGTGACAAGAACTTCCATACCCCACGACCGAAACATTGGTATCCTGGTACGGAGTAGAACACGTAGGAATTTGGTTGCATAAAGACGTCCACTCTGGAAACAAAGTGAAAGAGACAATAATTATTAATCTGAAATAATTTTCATTTAGATTTAGTTTGTTTTTTGTTTGTTTTTTTTTCTGTTTTAAAAATAAATAAAATATTTTCTAAAAGTTAAAAGAAAAAAATACAAGAATAAAAGAAACATTTTATTTTTTGAAAAATTGAAGACTGACAATAAAATCCATTTTAACTGCCAAGCTGATGATATTTGTTCATGGACAAAAGTAGTGAAAAACTAAAATTCCAAAATACTCATCTTCCTATACTCAGTCATGTAATCTCCCTGTATGCAGCCTGAAAGCTTTTAAAGACTCAACAATCTAAATCTGTAAATCTTGATAAGAAATTTATATATACTGATTTTCTTTGAAGGTACACATGGAGCCACAAATCAAGAAGATTCGAAAATCTTACACAAAGTCTCTGTTCGAATTTCTGGGATGAGAAGTTATCATTATTTACACTATATTTGGATTATTGTCCTCATCTTTCTTGCTGTTACAGGTTTTGGCTGTTGTGCCCTCAGGGAATTCTAAACTGAATACTTTATTTAATCTACAGGGGAAGACTGTTCTTGTTCCACTGCCCACATCTAGAGATATTGTCTGGTTCTTATTTTTTTAGTACTGCTCAATTATTGCATGCCCATTTCCAGAGTCCAAGTACACAATCCTCTTGGTCATTGTCCTGTAGCCTCATGGATTAAAGTGTTGTTTCATGAATTTGGTGACAGTGGTTATTAATTCAATCCCTGGGCTGGGCAGGGTGTACTTCAACTCTGTGGAAACAGTGAGCAATAACCAGCAGTACTAGACAATATCCCTAGACATGTGCTGTGGAACGAAAACAGTCTACACTCACAGATTGAATAAATGGTACACTTCAGAATTCCTTGTAGATTACCCAGATCAATATACACCTGAGGAAGACTGGAGAACAAAAAGGCTGAAATTTTGTGATAATAACAACAAAGATGAGGACAATAGTCCAAATGTAAATAGTATAAATAACTTAGAGAAAGATTATGGTTTTTACACATGACAATACCCAATAACATTCAGCAAAAAATGTAATGTAGATCTGAATAAATGGCTTTCAAAGATAGTCATTTGATGAAGTGGTTACTTTTTTTACTGATTTTAATTTGATTGAATACTTGGAGTATTCTGAAGATAAGGGTTTACATTAGCAGACAGCAATTTAGCAGCAAAAATGAACTTTAAAATGCTATTCTGAATGCAGTGAACTGTTTCATATGAAGAACCACAACAGCTAACAAAGTCAATCAATTCATGACTGAAAACTAGTTTCAGAACATGTTGCATATAATTCACTTTAATGCAGCATTTTTAATGCAGTTGCCATTAAAATGATAATTTAATTAAATTCGACTGCCATTAAAATGATAATTTAGTTGCCATTAAAATGATAATTAAAATCATTTAGTTGCCATTAAAATGATAATTAAAAATTATTTAGCTGCCATTAAAATGATAATTAAAATTATTTAGTTGCCATTAAAATGATTGTTTCCAATATTTTTGTTCAAAATATTTGTCTTTGTAAACTTTGGTCCTATTCTCTAATTTTCAATTGCAACGTTTGTTGGGTTTCAGTAACTTGGCTAATCATATGAAACTTCGAAAATTCAACTACACAAATGACACCTGCAAAAATTTAACTATTTCCTTCAGGATCTCAAGGGAAAATATTTTGAAAAGGTTAAGCTTGAAATCAAATAACTAAAAAAATAGAAAATAATAATAAAAAAATGTTTAAAAAAATTAAACTGATTTCAAACTTACCACATTACTTTCCCATATATCTTTATCTCCTGAGAAAATTTACAATTTATAGCTCAACATTTTATAAGAGATTCTAAAGAAACAAATGTGACATTTCTTTGGCAGCTCTTATAATATTCATCAAAGCAAGCATAAATATTTGTTTTCCCTTTAATGCCATGTCCCTTCAAGATATGGGTGATCATGGCTGTCTGCACATTCCTTTTCTTTGTTATCTGTAAATTGCTATGACGTCTTGGGAAAGATAGTGACATAGTTTCCTGTTGCTTTCTCCATGATTTTTAAATTCAGAGTTTTACTTCACCTAGACTAGCTACCAACCAAAACCAAGTTTACTTTGCTGTTTAATCAATAAGAAGAAATGGATTCATGTCTTTCCCAATTATATTAATGCTAAGTGAATGCAAGAGAGTTGCCCAGGACTTGAACTTGGCTCTCTGATTTCATTTTTTCACTACTTTCATTCATTATTTTTATGGATCTTCACTACTTTCATTCTTCATTCTTCATTTTAATGGATCTTCACTACTTTCATTCTTCATTTTAATGGATCTTCACTACTTTCATTCTTCATTTTTATGGATCTTCACTACCTTCATTATTTATTTAAACTGATAACCATTTTTATGTCTTGAGTCAATTTTTAATAGAACAAGAGAGAAAGAAGAAAGCAATTTTTTTATATGTTCAGGCTTAAACATCAGATATTTTTAATCAAAGAAATTGAAAAAAAAAAAAAAACCTTAATTTTGGGATTATGCCATTTAAATATACAAATTATGAAACTAGGAAAAAGATCAAATAAATAAAACCGCCCAACTACTTAGGATAGTAGATTAAACTGATCGAGATTTTTGATATTTCTATGATGTCAAAGCAAAAGAACGTCTTAAGAAAAAAAATATAAGTAACATCACAAAAAAATAGCTAACATTAATATCATATAAAAGGGGCAATCCAAAATTAACTAAAATTATATATATATATATATATATATATATATATATACACACAGAGGGTGGCTGAAAAGTAACCCAGTATTTTATGTATGACAGACTCTCCCATCTTGTAAAAAATTATAGTTAAACAGGAGAGTCCATCATACATAAAATAGGGAGTTCCTTTTCAATCCCCCTCTATATATATATATATATATATATATATATATATATACACACACACACACAGGGTGGCTGAAAAGTAACTCAGTATTTTATGTATGACAGACTCTCCCATCTTGTAAAAATTATAGTTAAACAGGAGAATCCATCATACATAAAATAAGGAGTTCTTTCATCTGGTTATATATATATATATATATATATATATACATACACACACACACACATAGGGTGGCTGAAAAGTAACTCAGTATTTTATGTATGACAGACTCTCCCATCTTGTAAAAATTATAGTTAAACAGGAGAATCCATCATACATAAAATAGGGAGTTCCTTTTCAATCCCCCTATATATATATATATATATATATATATATATATATATATATGATTGGTATTATGGCATATGAGCAGCAGGCTGGGAGGGTTCAAAAAAATTGGACATGTAAATAGGAGTTAGCAGAAAAAAATTGCAGACTTAAAAATTTCCATTATGGCAGACTTGGTTTCTTAGTATACAGAAATTATTGTCTCTTTGTGTTGGCCATTAGAACTGGGTGACATTTGTGTTATCAAAATTTAGATTGGTTTAAAATCACTTCCTTCTTCATTTGTTCTTTGCATGTCCTTGCTGACAAATTCCTACTTAGTCAAAGAATATAGATATTCACAATTTCTTTTTTTTAAAATAAGCATCTGCGCTAAAATTTGATTAAATCTAAGGCAACACCACAAATGACAGTGTTGATTAAACAAAATATTATAAAAATAAAAAAAATAATGTTTGTTCAGTATTTACATGTAGGCGTATAATTTTCCTCATCTTTGTAGGCCATATTTGTCTTTTTGACTGTTCTTAAACTCGGCCTTCTTCAGGAATTGGAATTTCACCTGAACCCTGGCAGTGGAGAACTTTCAGAGGGAAAATTAGCAGTTTCTAATTCCCATCCATCAAACATGGCACGTGGAATTAGATCTTTACCCTAATTTCAAATAAAGGGTTCAGTTCAAATTCCAACCACCTGAAGAACCTTCTAACTGTCAAACGCCAGGACAAATATGAGGGATAAAGATGAGGACAATAGTCCCACTAATGTAAATACTGTACATAATACCTCATCTCAGAAATATAGACAAACTAAAAAAGTGTTACTAAATACATTTATATACATACATTATATAACATATTCAAGAATTCTACCAATTCAACTAGTTTAGTAACATTTAAATTTATTTATTAGACTCAAGAATAAAACAATTTGATTACTAATTCTTGCACAACAATTAACCCGAGTATTCATGTTTTTAAAAAGAAAATAATTATAAAACATCTGGTATCTTGTCTGCAGTTGCTCTCTCACAGACATGCTGTCGCCTCCCTCTGTCTTTTTTACAAATACTTTCACGGTAACTGCTCCAATGAGCTGCTTTTGCTGGTTTCCAGACTTTATGAATTTAAGGGTTCAACTAGGCTGGCATCTCGCTCTCACCTTTTCACTGTTGAAACTGTTAAATCTAGCGATCTCTTCTACTCCAATAGCTTCATGTCTCACACATCTCGCCTGTGGAATGCCCTCCCCTTTTCTTGTTTCCCAGATAGCTATAATGTCCAACTATTCAAATGTAATGTCAACCGACATCTCCAGTTGCCTTGATCTATCTGTTATAGTGTAACACACCTATTTTATAGTTAACAGACACTCCCACCTACAATAAGTAGGAATAGTAAGAGTAACGAGGGGTCAGTCAGTCAGTCGATTCCGGACGACCGTAGGTCGGATACTAAAAGTATCAGCAACCACAATTAGATTTCTCTGCGTCATTACCTATTATATCAAGTTCCTAACGTTTTGTACGTCGAACCTATTTTAGGACCGACAGTACAAATACAAGCCTCCACTGTGAAACCACTCCATAACACTATCCCCTATCCTTCTCTTCAGCCTTTCCTCTATCACTCCTCTTTGCTCTCGCTCCAACTCCCTGTAACCCCTTGCATGCTAGTGGCTT